ACACTGATCATGTTAGTGTACAGCGTAATCAGATTGTGAATGGCGTCCCATAAAAGCGCACGCTTGTACTAAATGAGAATAGTGGACTGAAGATAAGACATCAGAGGGCGGCTCATTGTGTCCGATCACATCAATGGTTTCTACTTTAGCTGTCAGTCAATAAAATGTAAGACAAGGAAGACAATACTTTGAATGTATGTCATATGAAAGCAGCTATGGTGAGCGGGCTTTGTTTTTAATCAAACCTTATCCACAGGTTTGCAGGGTCCTGATATTGTCTCCACATGTTGGTTTGTTGACACACGGTCATGACTGTCTGGGATACTTAAATAGAACAGCGCCATTGTTAAAGCTGGAACTTTAAAATTGTGGCGCCCCCTGTGGACAAAGTAGGAACTCTTATCTTTTTGCTGATCTTTTCCTGTACATGTGTAACTATTCTTTTCTAAAGAATATTGTCATCCTGCTGTATTTAAACATTCAAGCATATCACTTGAGATGACTCTTTGCTGTGGAAAATATAAACAAAGAGAAGACTGTGTTGTAACTCACTTTGTCTGATACCTACCCTATGCCATTTACAAGTATTTCAACTACTTTGAATACATGATCAATATTGTTGCAAATTGTCTGGTTTGCTTTTGTTAGTCATAAAGAGGCATCAGAATGAAACATGTGCTGTTTGAGGCTGAGCAGTTGTGTTTGAAAGGTTTTTAGTGCTTTGTCACTGAACAGCTGCCTGCTGTGGCAAGACATCGTCCTTATAGGAGCAGTAAGATTGAACCCAGAGCAAGGAGATGAGAGATGGACAACTAAACAATAAACTGGAGTTCATCGAGGGGAGCTGTTGATTATAGGTAAAACAATCATGGCAATCAATCGAGTATAAATTCACACAGGAAGGTCAGAAACAGTCAGTACAGTCTCCGGTACAGGAACAATTGTAACAATAGAATCAAATAATTACACAAATAAGTTACATACAACAATCATTCAATGAAGGTCACAACTCAGCTGTCTGATTCTTTCTAGTATGTAGAAGGAGAAATAATTAAATATTCATATTTCTGATTTTTTTTTTTTTAAATGGTAGAAGAGCATTTAGCATAGTAAGTATGTATAAAACAGATAATATCTAAACTTGTGTTAGTTGGGGGTTGTTTCTAGTAGATGAACAATGATGAAATCGTGAAACAGACTGTGGATCATCTTAGATTTATTCAGCCATGGTCAGACAATATAACACACATGGCTGACAAAGTGCGGACCATCGCTGACCCATGCTGACCAAGGTCTCACAATCGCTGGCAATCATTGACAAACATTGGCAAAGTGGCAAAGTCTTCATCTTCACAGTGTTGCTTATATTCTGCTAGAAGGTACAGCCCACAAATTCCTGGCTGCTTTGTTACAGCTCTAAAAGGCTAGAAAGAAGACATCACCTATCAGACATATACATTTCTTCAGCCTCAGAGTCACATTTCCTTTTCAGCTGACTAAAGACACTTGGCTCCAATTCAAATATAACTGCTGCTATGAGGTCTCTCACACAGATGTATTACAGTTTCACAAACCTAAAAGAAGAATTACTCTTAGATGGTTGACACAATTCAAAGATATATCCACAAAATTATCAAGATGAATGAATTCATGAAAATACGTACTAACAGCTTGTACATGTAATTATGCAGAATAGTACTGCTGGTGCTTTTACTTAGAGGATCTAAATATTACTTCTGGTTACATGTATGGTGGGATCAGTATGGTAAAAATGAATAAAAAAGGGATATTATAAGCTGTATAATTGCTGTCTCAGGGGATACTGAAACTGAAAAGTAAAAAATCTGAATTTATTTCCTCCAAGTTTAAAATATTTTCAGTAGTAAAAAGAAACTGGGTGCAGCATCATGACTAAAGGAGATTTATTGTGACCTGCAGGTTCAGGGCAGACGTGTGTTGATTTATTGATGGTGCTTCCCTGCTAGCTTGGTTACCTGTGATCTGTGGTCAACAGGCAAGGTTAAAGGGCTTTGAAATGTCCAACACAGCAGTATTTTCCAACACACTGAGCATGATGGAGAGAGCTTTTAGAAGGAACAAAAGTGCTTTTGTTTTATAGCTGAGAAAATAACATGGATTTCATTTATGAACCACCAAATTTTTACTGGTGCAGCTTTACAACTCAGGCTGCTGTCTCTTCACATGCGGGCATCAATTCTGCACCAAAAACTTCAGCTGGTGTTACGGAAAAAAATGCATCCCCAAACGCGACTGATGCTGAATGACGACGCTGATTATGATTAAGGGGCTGCTAGTTTTGTTTCAAACTGTGCCTTGCTTTGTGGCTGGGGGCCTTGTGTTGTTTAAAGGGTATAAATACTAAATTAATCATGCTTTGGCTCAACTTGCCAGGGACTGAAATTTGCTTATGGAGGCCCATGATCACATGAAATATTAATGGCTTTACAGTGAAATGGTATTGTAGCGAAGGGGGCAAAGCACAGAGTCGTGTGTTGGGTTGGGTCACGGTTGACTTGAGATCATAAAACACTTTCACCTTTAATGGAAATGTGACGTACAGTAAGTGACCAAAACCCTGTGTTATTGCACATCATCTCTCCATTAGGGCCAATTTTGTTCGCATTATTCTACAAAATTGGTTAAGTGGTAATTGGCATTAATTGGCATGTAGCCGTGGTTTTTCTGTTGTGCAAATGTGCAGATAATATTCAAATGAATCTGGATGAATATATAACAAGTGTGTAGGCTAATGTTATGCATTTTCCTAGTTGTTGTGTATCCATGTGACTGACTTCTTGAGCCCCAGAGAGCTTCTAAAAGAAACTAACAATCACTTCGGCTGACAGACGACAAATTTCAAAGCAAACAAAAGTGAGACTTTGAACACACTTAACACCCCCCCCCCACTCCCCCACCCACCCCTCCTCTCCATGAAACACAATTACAATTCCATCTGCCTACACAAAACCAAAGAGAGACAAAAATATTATTACAGCCCAGTCCATATTTTCATGCCATTCGTCTCCTTGACACAAATCAGAAAGAAAAGATTTATATAATGGATGACACGGCGGCTGTAAACTTGTTAGCCCATATTTTCTGAGCTCACACAGAGCAAATACACATCTTCTTCCCACTGAGACACAAAGGGAGGCACACGCACATCCATGCATGCAGGTCACATCAGACAACATGGGGTACTAGATTTTCCCGTGACATGTTTATACGTGTAGCAGTTCCACAAAGTGCTACTAAACAATTGTCAGGAAACGTGGTTATTTGTGTCAATCAAACCTGTTAAAAGTGCAGCAGCTTGTTTGATCACAAATGACACCTGTGCGAGTTTGGTGGCTCCACAGTAGGTATATGGGACGACAGGAGGGGGGCATTTAATTCTCCCATACTGAGACAGAGCGGCGATGGGAGGTGTTTTCCAGCATTGGCATAGGGGATAATAAGGCTTAAATGATAAACAGAAGATATTCTACAAGAGCAAATCTGATTTCTCACAATTATCTCTGCAAGCTTGACAGGCACCAGGGGTGGCCCAGGAACACTGAACTGGTGGACACTGATTGGGTTATTTGTCCTTTTATTCTTGGTTGAGGGATTGTGGGAGCTGCACCGTGGAGAACCTCTCTGCAGGTGTAACCCCATACAGAATGCAAAATCCCTTTTACCAAAGAGCCACGACTTGTTCTCACTTCTAGTATAAACTAAGCAGAGAGTGTGGTGAGGAAGTAAGTTTTTACTTGTGTGAGGTGAGTAGAGACATGCATGCCTTTTAACATAATATCACAGCGGAAAAAGTGTAGCCTATGTGCAACAAAACAAAAATCAAAAGGCTGAGTTTCATTTAGCTGCTTGGTCCTTGTGTTGGCCATGCTGGCTCTAAGCAATACTGAATTGTGTTTATGACAATGCATTAGAACAAATGCTGCCTTAACTTCTGCAATGCTTGCAGGAAAAATACTTGTAGGAGAAACGCAGGTTGTGCAATGTGGAATCAAAGGAACAAAAAACAATCTATAAAATAATTTGTCAAGTCGAGTCACTAACTCCTTGTTCATGTCACTGACCTCCTTGCAGCCACGTGGTTATTCTGGGGCCATATTTGTTACACAGATAGCTTTTCTTTAGTGGTAAACGTCCTATAGGCTTTATGTAAAAGCTTACAGGAAAGTAAGGCCGACATTGAGGACTTGACGTTGACTTCAGTAAATTGAATATGATATGAGTTGACATTGCTGGCTTTGTGAAAGCAAGATGCACATACAATCGAAGACATTTTTAATTGTTATCACTCATCTTATAACAAATTCAATCCTTTTTATTTACATTGAGTTTATGTGTGAGGTTTTGTTTAGTCTGATTTTGCCAACACTTGAGCTGGGGAAAATACATTGATGTTCAGTGTACCTCTGAATCAATAAAATGTTTAATACAAGTTTTAGGTTTGCTTGCTTCAGTATTAATCAACCTGAACACAACACAGCCCCACAAACGATGTGATGACTAATTAGAAGTTTGTGTTAACTTTTTTTTTTTTCCTTTCTTGTAGCTTTTTCTGTCACCAGTATTAATATATGTCACACATCAATGTCTCATCAGCTTTTGATTGATCTGTCGCACCTTTTAACAGGAATACATTTTTTTAAGTGATACCATGTAGCACAGCACACCATTAAACGGCGAACGAGGTTCTAAATGTCTAAATAAAGAAAACTTTAAATCAGTTTGCATTACATTTACCAAGAGATGGCTAATGAAATATGAACAGGCCATCATCCCACATCTCTGATTCCTGACTACACAGAACTAATTTTATTCCTTCGTAGATTTGTAGGTATACTTATGTGTTTATGTTACATGTTTGCGTTCTGTCACACTGCTTGGGACTGGGACAACAGCATTGGGTCTTTTCTATGTATGTAGATACATGAGACAAATGACAAGTACATGGAGTCTTCACAAAAATCTAAATTATAAAAATAATTTGTATTTGAACATAGCAGCACTTAATTTATCACAAATCAGTGTTTCAGTAACAGGTCTGCATTATTATTTGCATCAACAGGCAATACTGTAGAAATCTCATGGAGGACCAGTGGACGGACATGGCAGACAGTCAGCTCCTGCACAAAAGAAGACAGACGTTCTCAGTTATGATGTTTTTGTGTTGGATTAAATAAAATGTTTAATTATGAAATTAAAATTAACTGGAACTACTTAGAAATCAGGTTATGTCCTGGACCTACCTTGGTACAGAAAACAGAGCAATACAAGTTACCTTACCAATCCAAAAAATAAAAAATAAAAAATTGTTGTTTTTAAAAGAGAAGTAGGAATGTTGTAGGAAGTTTGCTCTTTAGTGAAGAGGAAGTTTTTTTTTTGTTTTTTTTGAAATGGTCTTTTTCAGCTCTTTAAGATCTTTTTTTTTTTTTCACTGCCACAGTTCCTCTTTTTTTTCTTTTTTCTTTTTTTTTTTGGCAGGATATTTTCAGACCATTTCAATTCTTTATTTTTTCATACAATCCAAAGTAAAGCCAAAAACTGAGAAGCCAAGCTTTCATACAAATCATTTTAAACCCAGACATAAAATATTTACAATTGCGCGTATCATACTCTGCAAAAAGCTACAGTTTGTCATTCAGTTAAATTACAACACAGGTTTGTTTGTTAAACTGACACTTCAACAAAAGTGTATGTGTAAGATATGCTGTCAAACTATGCATGTTTTATGAACCAAAAAAATCAAGCAAAAAAAAACAATCTACATTAAGAGCATTAAAAAAATCACCACAGTTAAACTGTTAAAATTAATCAAACTTGCACATGGTTGTTCTGCTAGTTACACATTTGTAAGGGGAACAAAAAAAAGTCTAGTCAAAGTGAAATGTGCCGTGTTTATTTATAAACAGGCGATGAATTGTTTTAAAGATGCTGGATTGTTGAACGTCTTTGCACATCAGGGAGGAGTGCCGGGACCGGTCTTCATCTGCGCCACGAGCGAGGCTCATTGTCGTCTTCTTCTTCATCATCATCCTGCAGCAAGGCATCGTCACTGAGCGACTCTTCTGGGTACTGATGGGAGAAAAACAAACACTTAGATAAATGCTCTCGTGAAAAAAGGCAATTTAGAGTGGAGAGACCTTTTATTTAGAGCTTCGTCAGCACTCAACTTTCACCTGGTACTTAAAGGTCTCAGGAGGGACTAAACTCTTAGCTAGAGAATAAACAGACCACATGCTTAATAAAAGAAGGAGTGGGCCATGCAAAGGCCACGTTAAGACCATCCTTATTGTAATGTGTAATGGCTCCCCCTTGTGTTCTCTATGTGTAACACAACAAGAAGCAGGGATTTAATTTACTTTGACATAACTGAACAGAGAACATCCACATTTCCTCAATCAAGTTACTATTTTCAAATGGTTCCAGAATAATCCTGTCGACCAGTCTCCTTAAAGCAACTATCAAAGTGTCGACAAACCTCATCTTCATCCGCTTCTGCATCGTCAGCGTCCACAGCACTGAGGGCTGTGACAGCCTTATGCCAGGCCAGGCGTAGAGTCTGGTTGTTGAACCTCACCCCATGAAGAGCCGCCTACAGGTGAACAAAATACAAAGAATGGAACATTGGTTGTGTTTTAAGACTGTTAGGAGACTAATGAGCAGATTAGGTCCAGCTCCAGCTGAAATGGACAGTCCAACACCTTGATTTATCTTATTTTTGTGCATTGGAGAGAAACTCTAGGATACGTGTTGCAGGATCAGAAGTTGACTCACCCGTTCTGCTTCAGATCTCGTCCTGTACGTGATGACCGCAGACGGGCTGTTTTCATTAATCTGGCAATCTTCGATCTCTCCAAATTGCTTCAAAATTGTAAACACAAGACACTTGATCAAATATTAAATAACTAACTTGTGTCATTTGAAAATAATTCCCGTCAGTATCAGTTATTCAAAGCACATAATGAACAACAACCAATCAAATATCACCTTTTTTATTTCTATTTGAAAGCTCTTGAGTTTTTCCAAAGGTTGCTTGCTGTACCTCATTTAATTTGTAATTAAATGGTTGATGCTTCCATCGTAGTGAGCATTTTAACTCATTATTTTCTGACAATCGTCCACAATAAACCATCATAAGGCAACATGTCCATAGCATGTGAGAGTCACATTGTGTCTGTGACTTCCTCTGAGAAGATACCCTAAATACTTCTTTGCAGGGTTATTTTCAATGTTTCAAATGTGGCATGCCGTAGTCTGTTTTGCTTGTGTTTGTAGTAATTTGATGTAAGAGGTAAAGCGAGCTCATGATGTGGTTGAATTTTCAATGCATTCATAATATTGCTGGTTGCTACGGCAAGAACATTTTGCATTTGTTCCATTCACAGTTTAATTAGTACTAAAACTGAAAGAACTGTAACTGTGCTTTAGCACTACTGATCAGTTGCAAAGCAAAGCCTTAACCACCAGGGGACACTGTTGGTTTTCTTTTTTTGCTACACTTTAAAGGGATACTTCACCCGTTGAAACATGAATCTGTATTGACATTGGGTCATATATGTAGTAGAAATGTGAAATACATGTTGAAGTTGGTGCCTTCTTGGCTGAGAAAAGGCAGAAAGTGTCTTTTTGGCTCATGTGGATGAAAGACACCAAATCCCAGAATGCACAGCACTGCAGGCCACTCCCACTAAGGTCCTTTTTTTTCGGAATCAGAAATACTTCCTTAATCCCAGAAGGAAATTTCATCGATACAGTTTCTCCAAAATATACAATATAGCAGTAGAAATATAGTAATGAAAACATTTACAGACATATTTACTTCAACACATAGGGCCATTTCTTAAACTGTATGTAGTTTTATGGAGACTTACAGCAAAGTGTGGCAGCAGGTCGACATGGTCTGCCTCGTTGAAACCAGAAATCTCCAGGGCGCGTGGTCGATGGTCAACGACTGCATGCAGTGATACCCCTCTTCCCCGTCCTCTAGAGCCTCTTCCCCGGGCCCTAAGAGCACCACGGCCTCGAGAGTGTACCCCTCTGCCTCGTCCTGGTGACAGAAGTCCCCTTTTTGCTGCCTGATATTTAAAAGGGGGGATGGAAAAAGTCAAACAAAGCATAAATATCGGATTACTTTATTTCACACATAATTACAGCGGTGAAGAAAACTCCCAACTGATCTTTTGATGTTTAGCACTAAATTTCAAGTTGTCCCTTTCAAATCAAGTCAATACCTCAATTTGCAGCTGGGTATACTTGATCTTCAACAACGCTGTATCTTCTCCAGCCTGGGTTTTCTTGAAAAGGTCCAGCTCTGCATCCAGCAGTTCCTTTTGGGCCTGAACATATTATTTGCATTAGGGGAGACAAAACTGTAAGTCATAAGTAAAATGAACTGGACTGGATAAGCAGAACATTTAGAATCCAGTTCTCTTTGACTATGTACCTTTATAAGAACTGAGATCTTTAATTATTAAAAAGCAGAACAAAAGTTGGTTAAACGGTTATGTGTTTCATAATCTGTTTTATTTACAAGTGGAGCTGTTTGTTGTTTTATGAATGCCTAAAGCTAAGAGGCAGCGCTGTACCTGGGCCTTGCTCTTGGATGTTCGTAGAAGGATGCTGCTGGTTGAGATTCCCTTTATCTCCTCTTGCAGTTTGGTGATGCTTTTGGTTAACATGCCCAAAGTCTCCATGATTTTGGCTTTATCCTCGGCCTTCATTGCTTTGTTCTTCTCAAGTTTGGATATGAGGAGCTTATGAGGACAGAAGAAGAAAGCAAACAGAGACTCACAGGTTTAGCTGCTGTAAGAAGGACAACTGAAAAGTTTCAAAACAAACCCTAAAGACATTCAGATTATCTGTATTAACTGTTATTTTAAACCTTCCTCTGATGTCTGTCCTAACTCAAAACCAGACATTTCATTATTTCTATCATGAAGTCTAGGGAAGAAAGTCAGACTTCTTTTGCAGCAAACAGATTATGATTTATGTTTTGCACCAAGAGGTTGAAAATCGAAATCGATGCTGCTAAGAAAATTAAAATGTACAAAATATTATTTACACTGTAACTCCAGATGATCTTACCTTCTGTGTTTCAATGTGCTTCTCCAATATTTCCTGTTTCTTCTTCCTTACATCCTGCTGTAGTCTCAGAGCTTCCTATGAAAGGAATTTTGTAAAGGATTAGGTGCCGTCTCATATTTTTAGTTTACGATTCTAAGCCACTGATATCATATTAAGACTCTTATTGTAAATCCCTGTACTCCCCCTTCCCCTATCGATCCCATTTTCATTCTCCTCCCACCTGTTTCTTCTTCAGGGCCTCTTCTGAGCTTTTCTGCACGGCCTTCAGGGCTGCAGGATTGTACACAGTCTTTGTGAGGCCCATGGACGTTGAAAAGACCTGAAATGAATTATAGTCATTATACATATCAGGAAGACAACTTGTAAGACGCAGACAGGAAATCTAATGGGAACTATATACTGCTAAAAGGAAAATGGACATTTACTTTTTCAACAGGAGCTGCTGGTTTGGCAGGCGGCAGACCCAAACGGTCCTTCACTGACACTTTCGAAGGATTCTGGAAAAAATGACATCATGTTTATACACACCTTGTGCAGATTTCTGCAAGGATGCGCCAAAAATGGAAACACACAAACCTGAGAGTCTTGGGAGGGCTCAGAGTTAGCCGTGAGCAGGGGTCCAAGTCGGTCTTTGATGGACTGCTTCAGAGACGTGGCTGACGGCTGCTGAAAGACAACAGATGATAGTTTAATAATTAAACAGGCACTTGTTAGATTTATGCATTAGTGCATTTTAACAAAAGCCACAATCCAACTTCCAAAATCCTCCAGTTTTCTTGCTCTGCTGAACTTTACGGTGCATCTGTTACATCTTCAGTATTATTTTATTCTTATTACACACTGCCGATTGCCAGCCGATTGCATTAGCGGGCCAGTGGAAGGTAAAAAACTGCCTTAAAGTTTAAATACCGCTCTAAAAATAGAAATAAAAACAATAACATTTATTTCATAATTCCACATTGTTTTCCTGCGAGTGTTTTTTTCAGTGGTTCTTATGAGATCATCTTGTTAAAGATTATCAAGGATTGTAGGGCAGGGTTTCCCTCATTAACTAGTTTGATAAAAAGTTTTTTTTTAGAACCACTGGTGGGGGAAAAATCCACATTTAAAGATTAGAAAATAACTGCTACAGTCTAGGGAGAGTGACAGAGTTTGAAAACCGAAGGGAGAGACAGTTTTAAACACACTGACTCAAGTTGGCTGCAAAATGATAAAAGTAAAATCGTAAAATATTCTTCATTTCCAGAGTAAATTCTTGTCTGTTTTGTGTCCAAATCAAAAGTAACATTCCTGGGCCAATAGATACAATGGTGGGTTCACTGATCCTGAAAGAGGGTTTTCATATCAAATGTATGTCAGCGACTGACATATCTACTGCTTTCATGCTTTTCGACGATTGGCACAGACGTTTCTAAACGTTAGAACAATTGATGTGACTGGGTGATAGTTTGTTGATTAATCATCACACCCTTCAGCAGGTTTGCTTGGAGACAGGTACAAAAAAGGTCTCGAACCATTTCTGCTCTATAGCTCATAGCCAGTTGTCAAGTACCACATGTAGAATCAACTAGCAAACTATGATAAGTCCTCAGAAATGCAAGACTCTTTAAATTAACTGTTAAACTTTTGAAGCCTCTGGTTTCAGAAATACAGTGGAATCGAATGTAAGGGTACATTTTGACCCAGGCTGGAAACATTTCAGTTAGAGACAAACATTGAACAAGGGGACAGTTATGACTTTAAAATGAATGTTTACCGTGGCTGGCTGTGGTTGAGTCTGCTGCTGTGAGTGAAACTGACCGTCACTCCCATCCTCACGAAACCAGTGCACCCTGATGAAGCGATTATTGAGAACAGCCTCTGTGCTTTGCATAGCGCGCTTAGCCTCATCGGGGGAGGCAAACTGGATCAGAGCCCCCTCTGGGTCATTGTTGTAAGCAACCTGTATAAATAGATACAGAAATGGAAATGGTACAGTACAGAGAAACTATCAAAGCTGTGACCATTGGCGTCTGTCGCACCGCACCAACAGTGACACTGACCTGAAGGTTGACGATGGTCCCAAACTTGCTGTAATGTTCGTTGAGTTTGCTGATGTTGTTTAGCTCGGCGGGGATTTGTCGAACCAGCAGCTTGGTGTTAGCGGAGAACGGGACTCTTTTGTGGTAGCCTTGGTGGTTTGGTTTGTTGAAGTTGGGTCTGAGTGAACAGGAGAAATCATGAAGGAATTCAATGAGGATGGTATGAAACCTATTTCTGACAGATGTGCTGAACCAACTGATGCAGTAGTGGAGTGTGGTAATGGGGTGTTGGTATGGCTCATAGGGTAGAGAAGTGTAGTGGTGCATTCATGTGGTGTCGGAAAAAAACGAGTTTACGAGTTGTAAAATGCACATGAACGCCTGCTTAAGTCAGAGAAACAACTCTGAAACTCGGGAAAGAATAAGGTGCACAACTTGATGTCATAATGGCCATCACATTGGGAGCAAAATATGTTTCATTCATGGTAACATACTTTTTATTAAGTCACATATTGCACATCAACTTTAAGTTGTTCCACACATCTTCGTAGCTTCCACGATGTTTGTTGTTGTTGTTACAACACTCCAACTTTCCGAACTAAATTTACGTGAACACACTGAAGTTTGCAAGAACAACTACCTGGAAACTGGGACCATCCAAGAAGCACATGAATGCAACATTAGAGCGGCTTAAGGGAGCAGTGCCAGAGGTATGTTAGCTGACTGCTCTTTCTGCAGCAGCATGCTGGAGCTGGGCACACATACACCGAGTCTGAGCAGTTAACCCTACTCCTCGCTGGAGGAGCATTTTGTGTTGGACTTGTGGAAAAAAGTGAATTGAATGGTCTCTGAAAACACCGGGCATGTTACAAGAAGAGTTGTCTCTGTCGTTTCATAGAGCATGTGAAGAATTACAGAAAACATGTTGCTGTAGCCATGTGTATGAGTTGTACTGAAACAGAACCCTGTAACAGTTCTATGTTACTCTCAGTTTGTGATATATTAAAGAAGAAAATGTGTCTTACTTGTCAAACCAAGGTTTGTTGGAGAGGAGCCCTCCATCATGGGACACATGTGGTCTCTTCCTTGAATCTGACTCCATAACGATCCTCATACTGTTGTTCGGAATTTTTTCTGGTGACGGTAAAAATAAAATAAAAACAGATTGGTCAGTTCACAGAGCTACAAAAAGAAAAGTTGTGTAAGACTTAAAAAGACAGAGTTGTAACACAAATACATAAGCATGGACGAAGAACTGTATTTTTCAATAGTCTGTGAAGCAACAAGAGGTTATCTCAAACAAAGTATTTTATTCATAAGAAGAAAACTAAACCACTGAATATAGACGGCCCATTGAAGTATTAGATGGTTAAGTTCAAATAATGCAAATAATACCCCTCGGTGGCTGATCCACATCTCCCATGGTGAGACCGATCAGGTTGGGTCTCTGAACATTGACCCGGTGGCGGTAGATCGGCCTGGAGGTATTGGTGATGCTGGGAGCCTCAGGATTGTACACATCCGTCTCATAGTTGTCTGGTGAGGAGAGAGGACAAGTGATCTCATAAAACAGTGAGGCACGTTATGAGAACAGTGATTTACAAATAAAAATACAACTGTGACTTCAAAAGGGACAAAAGGCTATTACTGGTGTTGAAGAGAGGCACTGCAGCCTGGGGAAGTGAGGAGCGCATCCCAGAGGTGACAATGGTGGGAACAGAGCTGGTGATGGGGTTTGGAGGAGCATCCATGCCCGACGGTTGCAGAGGAGGAAGGGGAGGAGGGGGGCCTGTGTAAGTCACAGTACAACAACATTCAAAATGAAGCCAAAGCCAAACACTAACTGTTCAAACCTTAAGTAATACATAAGTGTTTAAAAGGTAAGAAATATAAAATCATATTGTTTTATTCATTCTAAAGCAAATACCGTGGTTGTCATCGAATGGGAAAGATAAGAAACAGGGTGTCTTTATCAAATGTCAGCAGATTCATTTTCAAGGTATTGGACTTCTCTAGAAACACAGACAACAAATGGCTAAATAACCCTTTTAGTTCTTTGAAAAGTAGTTTCTTAGACTTTACAGTCTTTAAGTCTTTAAGTGAAAGTGCAGCTTTAAATTCAGGTCAGTTAAGGTCAGATTCTACAGGATATTGTTAGAGATTAACAGAGGTTTAGCCAAGATCAGTGGATTACTAAATTAGTTAATTGATGCATAAATGTTATTTGAGCTCTCATTTGGTGATTCTATGCTGTTTTATTTTCATGTTGTACTGTAGATATTACTTCGGGTTTTATTATTTATTTTTTGAAAGAATAACAAGCAATTTCAAAATGTAACCATGGACCTTTTCTGAATTCATATAAAAACACTCATATTACTTTAAACATGTCTATACTTACTTACAAAACACATGACCATCACTTTACTACATTATTTTTATGATATTTTTCTTTTTTGTGAAATATATTCTCCTAATTTGTTTGCTCAACTATTAAGTGTTTAAAGTTTCAAATTAAAAAAATACTTTGTGTCTCACATTTTGTAAAAGGGCACATACTTATGAGTTTTTTGTTTTTTTTTAAGTATGAAACCAAGTATGACAGTAAAATCAGACGTTAACGCAGAGTTAAGTAAACAAAGAAGCGGCTGAATTCCTACCTGCAATAGGAGGAAGGCTAGGTGGGAGGACGCCTGGTGGAGGCACAGGGGGTCGCAGATTCACAGGTGGGGGGTTCATGAGAGGAGGTGGTGGTGGGAGGCCTGGGGGCGGTGGTGCAGCCACACCTGGGATGGGTGGAGGTTGGAAGGGCATCATATTGGGCAAATTGACGTCCTCTACTACAACAGGGTCACTTCCATGGTCGAAAGGGCACATGTCCCCTCTCATGCAGAAACCTTTTTCTGGAAAGACAACAAAGAAGGTGGATAATATAAAACATGACATTAGAGGTTATCATATGACTTGTTCATGTGCAGTGCTACTGTCATGTGAACAACAAAAATAGTTCACTGCACCCTTTCAAAAAAAAGAAAGAAAAAGGTTAATACCATCATAGTCACGGCATCGCTTCCTCGGTTGAGGGGGTGGTCCCCTGATAAAAGGGCCTCGGTCCACAGGGTGATCAGGACGGAAGTCTGACCAGCTCTCAGTGGTGTTGTTGCTGTGATGATGTGTGGGAGCGATAACTGTAATGGTGCTGCTCAGTGTTGGAACAGGGAAGTGTGAAGTGGTTGCAGTGGAGACCAGGACTGCTGGGGTGTAGCCATCACCAGTCTCTGACTTGTCCGGTCGATCGTGATCAAACTTCAACTTGCCAGAATCGCGTTCTGCAAGAAGACAAGACAAGGCGTTAGCGGAAAAAACTGTCTTTCCTTGGCACAATGAGACTTTTTGACCACAAAAATAAATGGAAATGTATTTTTCTATACTTCATCAGCTGTCTGAGCTGCTTTAACATTGATATATGAAAGAATGTGAAGATACAGCTTCATGTACAGGCAGCAATTGAATTGTAGAGTGTTTCAATGCATACTCAAGGAAACCAAATACATAAATGCACCCAAGAAGACACAAACATCTGTAGAAACCATGGTGCAATCTTTTTTTCTTGGTGAACAGTTACCTTAGAGAACACACTAAAACCCTTTTCACACGTACGGAAATCTCCTGAAAAACGCCGGAGATTTCCAGGAGGAGCTGTATGTGTGAACGCAACAGCCATTTTTTTTACTCCGATATTACCCGGAGTTTATCCTGCCAGACCCCTAGT